TCCATTGCCGAAGGTTAGGATTACATCCATTCTATTAAATATATATATTTATTCTCAATCACTATCAACTTTAAGCAAATTTTAATATGTTTCTTCGTCCGTCTATGCATCTATCCATCCGTGTGTATGTGCAAAAGTAAACATTTTGCCGGTCGTAAAAATTGCAATATTGGCTTCAATTTTGACAAAACATATTAGACCGTGCGGAAATTCTTGACCACTCAAAGAAAAAGGCACCAATACAACGCATACTCCGAACACCTGCGTCTACCAAACTAAAACTATAGAGCTTTTTGTTCATTTTGCTCACAAACTTTCAGGAGGAAAAATGAAACGAATATCTCCGTAAACTCCCTGCGTAATTCTACAGTATGTGTATAAAAATGAAAAATCCGCGACGCCGTCCAGCACTATTAAAAAGTATTTTTCTTTCATGTTTTTAAAATTTTTTTCTTTTTAAATAACGCTAATGAATGCATAAAATCAGCTTTTCTTACTTCAAACAGTCATAACAGTCGTTTTGAATGTTATATTATTGCGGAAGATATTGGGACTCTAAATTTTAGAGTTATTGCTATTCGCAGTACGTCCAAATCCCGCCGGAAGTTAGCAGGATGTCCAATAAGTAGCTGGCTCTTCTCCTCTCCTCTCAACGAAACTCATGGCTTCCCCCTTTGGTTCACCTTAAAAAGAACTTAGGTACCTACTTTTCAATAAACGCAACAGTCCCGGCAACTACTTGCTTTCACCATTCGGGTTATATGGACACGCCTATCTTATTCAATCTATACAACAGACGAATAAAATTGTTTGTGTTTAATAGCTCAGAGAAAATATTCAAAAATAAGTTCCATACCTGAAAGAAAAAGTTTCATCGGAAAACGGAATTTCAGTTTGTGTGAAAGCTACAATTTACCACAAGTCAAATTAAAATGGAAGGTGTTCTATTCTACTCTGTTCTACCTCTCCGTGAGTCAAAGTCTTGCTTTACCGAAACTCAATTTTTATGCTCCGTAAAAATATTTTATTTATAATATTTCATTATTTGAATTCAAAGGCACAATAAGAAAAATAAAAAAAAATGAGAACTGAGTGATAAGAGATCGCCAAGATGGATCCGCATAAAGCTAGGAAATAAATGAATTATATGCGTACACTGGCGAATAGTGTGCATCATGGGCCCCAATTTGACTGCAACTTTCTTTTTACTTATTGCATATTAAACACAATTATGTTTGTAGTTCCGCTAAATACGCAGAACGGATATATTGTCAATCATCTCTAAATAAATTTTGAAAAGATATATAAAAATGAAATGTTGAATAATATTAAAACTATGATAACTTGAGAGTTTAGTTTGTCTTTAAATAAAATATGTATATTAAATGTAGTTGCGGTGTATGAGTTAGAGCAAGATGCAAGAAGGCACAAAATTCGTAAAGGCAAACACTCGACATTTTGTGCCAGTGTCATAATATGTTGTGGCAGTAAAAGTTTCTCACTCAAAGGATTGGTATGCGTATGAAAGCCTTTTTGAAGAAACAGATTAAACGCAGCAACTTGTATAACTATATATAGCTGCGTGCATATACATATACAATTCATTTTTTTCTTTTTTTTTTTTACTCCTTCATTTTTATGGTATAGTGAACACTAAGGCAAAGAGAGGCTATGTTTCTCGTTTAAGCTAAGACACTTTTCAAAAAATTCAATGTCTCTTTCTTTTATTTTTACAAATTTAATTTTTATTTATACATAAATTTAATTCTTATTATATATTCTATGTATGTATGTCTATTTGCTGTACGCAAGCATACATTTAACGAAAGTTTGCTTGGCTTGACTTTTTTGCGGCTCCGACTTGTCACTTAAGTGTACTCAGTATTCGTAAGAGCAAACGCTAGAGCAAAAGAGCGAGAGCGTAGGCAAGTGCCTCTTACTCACTCATTTCAGGAATGGCAGCATCAGCAGCTAAGAAAGCCCCTTAACTACGTTACGAGTATCCGAGCATGCTGTACCAATGTATATATTTGCCAACTAAGTACACATACACGTTTATACACAAACAAATTTACACATCCATATAAGAACTCCATCTCCCTCAATGTTTAAATTCCTTTCAACATTTAAGGATCTTACAAGCTTAGCAATCTACCTTACCCAAGACTCTTACTTACTTAGTTACACAACTGTCTGCCTTACCTGTAACTATTTTTAGTTCTAAAGTTAATATCTGCTCAAAGTCACACATATATTTAGATATGCAAATATATATGTCTATACATATACATACATATTTATATATACACATATGTATGTATACACATTGACTTTCCTTATAAACCAGTTTTTCTTCATTTGTAAGCTTCGTTTTTTTTCTTTTTTTTTTTTCCTTTCTTCATTCTAGTTTTTCCTTTTTTTCGTTTCTTTAAACAACCATAAGGGTTTTTACTTAACTGTAATGATTATTTCCTTGCAGCTCACATGATGACATTTCCTTTTTAAACAGATGTTGCTTAACATGTAAATTGCTTTTATGCATTTCTATGCGCATATTTACATAGATTTGTATATATATATATATATATATATATATATATATATGTATACAATTTCATTATTTAAATTTTAAATTATTAAATTAAAATTTTCTTTTAAAAAACGAAAAAAAAAAAAAAAATTCCATTAAAATTTTGTCCATAATGCTCAAAGACCTTTTTAAGTTGTAATGAAATAAATTAATTTAACGATGAATGAAATAAAATGAAATGAAAAGAAAATTTAAACAAAGCAGCATAACTGTATGCTGTATACGCGAGTAAGAATGAACTTGAAATATCCGTTAATTCTATAGACATGGTAGCGCTTCTTGTACCCTACGCCATTCATGATAAGTTTATATATTGAATTTTGGCAAATGTATGTTGGACACAGAACGACTTGATATGGGCGAATCGCGATAATAATTCGATTTAGAGTAATTTCCATAATCGCTTAAAGGCCCTCTATCCTTTTTTCTGTCTTAGTTAATTTTGTTCAACATTGAGTTCGCAATTTTCGAAAAATTTTGATAAGATCCGGTGCACTGAAATGTTTCGCAACAAGAATCAAGATTAAATGAAATATTGTTCGTATTGGATTATTTTTATGATAAATCCTTGCTTGTTCTGATTTGTGGACGGCTTCTTCATGTAATGCTTCCCTAGAAACCCCATTAATGGTAGTATCCTATAATTTTTAGTATTATATCACAAAAACGGCTGAACAATTACAGTGCAGGCGAAGTGGGCCAGTCTATTTAACAAGTCCGCGACTATGCATGTTATAGTATTCGTGATGTGAATGCTAAAGGTTTCAAATTTTTAAGCCAATTATTCTTCATTTAACTTTATATAAACTTGGGCTTTTTTTAATTATTATACCTGTGTGTTTACTTACTTGCTTAAAGACCCCTTAAGCAAGCATATCGAATAAAATAAAAATGATATCTCTGACGTGAACACTACGTACATTTCTATGCACTGCAAAGAGACCAGATTCCCTCATAGCGCATCGTTTCTCTGAAATTAAATTAATTTCTTACGATTTAATATGTTGAGGAATAAGGATCTAGTGTTTGTATAAATAGTCTAGTGAAAGTATAAATAAATTCCTTTTTCTCTAACGAACGCTATAGAACTCACATCATCCATATTGAAAAATTTGATCTTTATTCTCGTGGAAACTATTGCACTAGTTGTATATAACGGTTAAAATATGATCTTCTAACTATCCTTTGAAAATGTATTCAATCACTTTTCAGATGCCACAACTAGTTTTAAAGTAAATTGACTATCAATTTTCGGATGTCACTGAAATTTTTACTATCCGCGAACGTATTCACGGCCAATTTCCTCTGACTGCAACATCTAAATGCACTTTGGAATTAAGAAACAGGCTCAACCAATTTCGTTTGAAAGTACTCTTTCCAAATCAAATCGGCGATCAACCGATATTTTATGGCAATATTTGCTTCATGTAGATAAAGTGTAGTTCCTCCAGGCAGTTACTTTTGTCCTAAGCTATTATGGTTGGCAATTAGTTTCATCCATTTAGAAGGACAAGCAAAGATCACAATAGCGATCTTGTCGTTATTGCCACATATTGTACGGAGTTAGACATTTTTAAGCAAAAAATGTAAATATGAAACAGGAATTTGCCTCAAAATGCTCCAAATACTATATTTAGAACACGCACTTATCTAAGACTGTCTTTTTTCGTATGCCTTGGACACATCACAAAAGATAAGTAATCGTAATACCAACATATATCGCAACGCAAAAATACCACTTCTAACATCGAAATTGACAACTTCTGCGCTTAATAAAGAGTATATGAGCATTTTCTTTTGACTCAACTACGCATAAGAGAGCCTTCTCACACCATATCTCAAATCAGTAAAGGTGGACCTATTTCGAGAGTCGCTGGTGTAAAAATTCTTGGATAGACTCAGGCGTACATGTGCATTTCGATTGTGAGACTGAATCGTTTTGGCAGTAAGACGATATCCTGTGTTTGGTGGGACCAGAAGAGTACGCTCTCTTATTAGCTAATATCGAACCCTAACAACGATGATTGATCGATCGGCAGCATTTGCTGTACAAAAAATAAGTGAATTACCACAAAAGGTAATATAAGCTCATTTTTTCTCTATGACGTCCGTCCATCCATCGGTATAGTAAAACCGGTTCGCTATACTCTACCCTCAACTGAGAAGTACTGGTCAGCCCAGGCGGCTTACTCACCGAATTTGAGTCCTAGCGATTAGTAAGGGTTTGCATCGATGGAAAACACCTTTGCTTTGCATCGCGAAAATGTATCGACCAGTGCTTTGCCTCAAAGAAGCATCATTTCTTTTGGCGTTGCATCCACAAATTGTCAAGCAAGTAAGAAAACTGTATAGTTGATGGCGTACAGTGCTTCAAATAATACGTTTTTTTTTTTTTCATTTTGATTCACTAAACGTCTATTTTTTATGGAAAATTCTAGTTTTATAATATGTTCATATATTTCTTAATTTATTTTCTAGCAAATACTTTTATTCCATTTGTGTTACTCATGTTTTGAATTTGAGCATCAATCCATACACGTAGCCTGGTTACGTTAGTGTAAACGCCTGGATAATCTTGTTGTGCACAGCCAATGCCCCAGGAAACAATACCGAATTGCTTAACATTCGCTAGAGCGGTTTTTATAGCTTTTCTTGACAGATTAGGTTTTATGACTGGATAAACTAGTGGTCCACCAGAATCGCCCTGGCAACTATCCTTGCCACCTTGTGGATAACGAGCGCAGAACATTGTTTTGCTAATTTCTCCAAAATACTTATAATTTTTGACGCAAATATCTTGATTAATTAAAGGTACAGTTACCGTGTGTAGTAGCGATGGTAATGCGCCATCTTCTTTGGTTGAACCCCAACCGCTGACTTGACACATGCTGTTGGGTGGCAAATATTCGTTTTTCTCAGGCAATTGTATTGACCGTACATTTGATGAATAGATAAGATATTGCCTAAGTATACCTAACGCCACATCATTATCGAGCGTGTTAAGACTGAATGCTTCATGTTTGATGATGCGTTGTACTCGCCTTAACTGGCCGCCATAGCGATGAGAGGAGGATCCTGCTCGTATTTGGTAACGGGATGCATCGTTGGAAATTTGAAAGCAATGAGCCGCGGTTAAAATGATATGCGGTTTTAATATTGAGCCACCGCAAATATGTGTCCCATCGAACTGCAGCGACACCGTGAAAGGTAAATTTGAAATTGATGTCGCAGAGCCACCTACAATGCGGCCATCATAATTGATTTGGTTGCTGAGTAACGGCGATAATGATGACGATGGCACCGATGTTGCATCAATCAACGGTGCAGTTATATTATTAGCAGATGCTGATGTTTGCAAACTTAAAGCAGTGAATGCAATGAAGTTACTGAGAATTTTTAAAATTTTTATACATTTCATAATTTAATTTTTTTTTTTTTTATTTTTTTTTTTTTTATTAAATTATATGTTATCTTATGCAATTCATCTGACAAAATTTGATGGCTTTATATACTAAGATAAACAACGGCAGCATGTATAGCTGTTGCTCTACTAATGTCGCTTATCTTATCGACGAGTGTTATCAATGAATAAAAGAAAAGAAATGAATAGCATTTAGTTTTATTACCCAACAGCAGGCAATAATGTAAGTGATTACATTATCGCCGCATATTTATTTAAATTAAACTTACAACACATATCACAACTCTAGCCTTGAGAATTTACGATGAATCTGAAAAAATTTTATGAAATCAGTTTCTCTTGACACAATTCTCTTCTTTTATTTTCCATTTTTTCTTTTTTTTTTTTCTTTTTCGTTTCCTCACAGGGTTTTCGTTGATTACCCGCAAAGAATTCATATCACCCGCTACAACGTAACATATAGATTGAAACGTAAATGTAAACCATCAACAATGCATAATGTGATATTATTACCAATAACTATAACAGTAATAAGAACAACAACGGCAACATTTATGGTGCATTAAACATTATCTACTCTGGCTTCCATATTGTCTGGTTATGCATAAAATCCATATGCTATTGGTTTTGCGTGAACTATAACTACAGTATGCCTGTGTGCATATATGCATCTGTGAATGACTGTGATGCGGTTGTACGCTTATATATTATATATGTATAGCATGCTTGTATGGTATATTTAAATATATATGTATGTATGTATATATATATATATACATAATGGTACATATAAGCATAGATATAAATGCATCTGTCTCCATGTGCACAAGCATCAATAATCTGCGATTTCCTTTGAATTTCCGGTATTATTGGCATGCAAACAATACAGCTCGGAAATCAACGAACAAAAATGAAATGACAACAACCAAAAATTGTATAACATTTAAATGGCAACGTTATAAGCGACGGGAAAGAAGAGCACTAACGCATACACACAAAAGCATACAATCATCGACGCATATATTCGATGAAATTCATTTCATTTCACAAAATTCGATTGACAGACAAGTTATTGAGCGTTTTGTACGTTTTCTCTTTTGGTAAATGCAACATGAGGATCATGTAAGAATAAAAAAAAAAAAAAAAATTTCAAAATTATTTTCTAAAGATGAGAGATGATTTTAGACGCTAGCTATACTCTCTCTATTAATGCATTGAGTAATTGGAAATTAAACCTTTCAGGCATTGTTCGTTGTTATATTAATGTAGATAGCCACCTAACTGCTACAGTTGTCCCGACAGTTTTTCAAGTATAATTGAAAATTTCCAAATAACAATAGATTTTGCGTCTAGACAGGGTATCAACGATAAAATAGTTTAATATCTGAAATATGAATTTAGTATAGGATATGTAGGAAATGATTGAGTGAAAAAGTTTCAACGAAAATAAACATTGGCGTATAACAATGGAAAAAATGCTTAAAAATTAAAATGACATCAAATAAGAAAAAAATCAAAGAAATTGAATTAAGTTTTCTTTTTTCTTCCATTATAAATTTTCTTTCATTATATCATTATCGCATATTCCATTTATATATATATATATATATATATAATATAAGGACACATGGAACGATTCATCCGTCACCGTAGTGACTACATCATTTCATCCAAATCTTCTCCGCAAATGTGCTTTTAAGATTTAGTAACAGATAGCATTGGCTTAACACATATCAGAAATTTGAGCTGACTGTGGCAGCCTGCCAGTATAATTTGACAACAAAAATCCAATCTTAAAGATAACGAAGCAAGGTGTACTGAGAACTACTGCGTTGTTCGGGACTCATTAAAAGGTCGTAAAGATCACAAATTACTGAATGAACCATTCATACCTACAAGTACACAACAAAAATACTATTCTAAAAATAAAGAAATAAAATGCCCTAAGTACTTACGCAATTCACAAGAATTAACGAAAGAACTGAAAGATGGACGGCACGTGTATCTTGGAGTGAACATCTTCGAAAGAAAAGTTGGACAACACTTCTGTAGCAGATCGCAAAGGAAGTGAAAACATATTGATACCGAAAGATTTGCCTGAGAGCAAGAACACATCAGCAGAGATCAATAAACAACGAAAAGTTTGTCGCGCAAGTCTTCCATTGATTCGAAAAGCTCTGCGAAGCAAAAGAGCAAGTAGAGACTCGACCAGTTATTCGAGAGATGATAAAGCGCTCCAAAATTCTCCAAAAGAAATAAACTTGCACTTTAAGGGAAGAAATCTATAGCAACAAAATCTGTCCCATCTTCAGAGAAATAAATTATTAACAAGAGTGACGAGAACAAAATAAACGAAAAGTGAGAAGAAAAAAAGAAGAGAACAGTTTCAGGGGCAAGGGTGACAGGAAAGCAAGAGAGAAATTATCGCCAGAGTGCACTACTATTCAGAAACTAAACGATGCGAGGATGCGAGAAATAAGTTCATGAAAAAGAACATTTATTGTGCCTATGCAAAATGAACAAAAGATTGAAAAGAGAAAAAGGACAGAAATGAAGACAAGAACAATGAAATTCATATCGAGAAAATACAAATTTATCTAAACGATTCGACGACCAACAACAGTCAATAGTCCTCTTATAGGAAAAGTTCGCGCTCTGAAGATGCTGTGAAGCAACGGAATAATTGAAAAAACGAGGAAACTATTGCTAATTTATGTAACAAATGCATTATGTAAGCATTCGGAACTCATGGAACTTCAATTCGAAGCCATTTCGCCATTGTAACAGTCGACTTGTAACACGGTCCATCTATTTTGTAATATTGGAGTATTTGCTTTCACCGTTTGGAACCGATTTTTTTCTTTGCAATTTTCTCTGTCAATCCAGGCAAAAATGCTTTCTTATGCATTTATGTACAGATGGTCAATATGCACTTTTCTTCCTTTTCCAACATTGTCGATAAATAGAATACCTCGCGTGTCCCACAACTTGTCTTTTGACAGCAGCAATATTTTGTAATTTGAGACCATAGCAAAAGCAAGGGTTTTTTTTGTCAATTCTTCTGGGACGAAAGGAAAGAGAACAGAATATTAATACTGATGGAAGCTATTTAGTATGTATTTAAGTGGAGTATTTTTAATCGAAAGGTCTCTAAGGCCAGCATAGGTGAAAATTCGAACTAAAGAAGACCAATTATCCAAACTACATGGCAATAGCAAGAGAAAAACTTTTGTGTGATGAATGTGTGGAAATTCGTGTATGAAGAAAACGCGTTTAAGGTTTTCAAACAAATTTTAGACTTATTTTCTTTTTTATAATAATTTTTTTTTTTTTATATAAATTTTGACCATTGGTCGGTAGGCACTTCTATATTCAAATTCTCGGCTTTTTCCTCATAAAAGCTAACGGTTGATATTATCTTTCCTGTTGCATATGTCGAAAACAAAATCCTACATATTACTCCTATGGCTATTCATAATCGAAATTTATTCCGAAATTTAGAATTTCTTGGCAGAAGTGGTGAAAGCTTTTGAAATTGCTTGCTCATCATATCTCTTTAGCGATCGTTGAACAGAACAACTTTCCAAAGTCTTCTGTTAGTGTATTAGAGAAATAAGAAATCAACAGGCGATAAATTTTCAGTTCAAACGCGCCAACGGTATTTTCCCGAAACTCTCAAGGAAACGCCCAAAATTTCAAGAGCAAAATTCCCTTCAGGCCATGCATTTTGTTATGATATTTTTTTCAAAATTCGAACGATCTATTAGGCCAACGGAATAAACAAAAATTTATCAGAAAATTCTTTTTTGACTTCTCCTGTAATTCAGTTTTACTTTATCAAGTGTTTGCATATTATGGGTAAATTTTTTGGAGTTCAGTTTGATCAAAAAAATACTCTCCTTGTGAATTTCTAATTATCAGAAATATTTGATAAATCTGATATACATTTTATCGGAGATATAAATTATTTTCTTGAATTACACGTGTGAGTTATAGCTGAGAATGGTAGGAATTTTTATCGGCTTCCTTTACGGGCGAAAATTGGCTTTTATGGGAAAAACTTGCCCGGAAGTTAACGCTATATTAACTTCTCGATGGCTTTATTTGATTCTATTACCGACTACTTGCCAGTATTTATACAAAAAGTTGTATAAGTTGCGTTTATTCTCATCGTCTTTCATTCCTAAAATATTAGAGATATAGTAAAGTCAATCGCATAATAGATAATATATTATGAATTACTTGATTGGCCGATATTGACTTTATATTATATAAGTTTTGTCATGTGATTATATAAATTGTTTTCGCATATTTCAATTAATTTGTTCATCATTCCGTTAGGCTTTTCCCTTAAATAAATAATCAAATAAAAGTGACCATCGAAAATTAAATCTATAGAGACTTAAAAAAAAAAACGCGCAATAATCAATTAAATAATATTATGCTGCAGGTAAGATGATAAACACTGTGCTGTATCGTATTTGCAACCCTTAGGAAGGATGCATGGAATGCATTATTTGTATAATAAAGCTTTGAAATAAAGGGCTTATATTATATTTTATAATGCGATAAAAATAAATTCTCATTATATTTTTATTTTCCAATTATATCACAAATAAGAATTTAAAAAAGCGTACAGAGGGAAAAGATTTCAATTATGTTTTTTCGAACAAAAGAATTTACTCAGGCTACTAATTTGTTTTCACACAAACACTTTTGCCAACAGCATTAGTTTGCATAGTTTTCTTTTTGAGCTTCGTCGTAGAACGAATGTTAGATACCCATCAGCTTGCTAGCCAAACATATAAGTAACTTGTGGCAAAGATCTTGGCATAATAAATGAATTCGGGAAAGAAACTGTTTTTCTCAAAAGGTGATTGCTTGAAAACCCTAAGTCACTAAGCATGATTTTTTGTTGATAAATTGCCTATCTATCTATGTTCGAGTATTTTTCCTCGAATTCTTTTAGTAAAGAAAGATTTTGAGTTTCGATAACAAACGAAAGAAGTAAAATGACTTTGTCCGAAATTGGAAACATGTATAAAAACTAC